CGTCTGAAAGCAGAAGTCTAGGACAAATAATTGCAAGTCTCTTCAGTGCACATGTTACAAAACGAGATGCATTGTGGGACATGTAGTTTATGGGCAACCTGCTTCTGTAAAGTGGCATGTAACGGTATAATAAACGTATTATATTATTTGCAAGCTCTTGCGGGGACACATAAAATGAGGTCCTTGAGTTTGAGACCCCTGCTCTACATAGTCAGCTTGGTGATACAGTTAGATATCTTTATTCATATCATGATATCATGAATATTCAGAAAATGTATTACGCAAATTAACTTTAGCATATAATTGAAACTGAGACTTTGTCGTGCTCAGCAGCATTCAGATCGTTTGCATGCCATCATCATATCCTCAAGTGAGGTGGAGGAGAGAGGGGGATGAGAAGACCATGCCAGCATATGGCAGGGTCTGAAGTAAACTTGAGGAGGATGAGGAGGAGGATGCTGATGAAGATGGCTCACGTTGCAATCTTTCACAGAGGTTTTGTTGACTGTTGTGCAGGGGAGAGCTCATCAGCGTGAAGGAGAGAAATGTGAATGTGCAGAGACAAGGGGCACTGCAGTGTATCTGCTCATTAGGTGGGAGACGCTGTAATTCAGAGAGCGAGCAGCTCTGCAATCAGGGGCCTATTCATTAGCATGGGGGGCCCGCTTTCATCTGCAACCACTTAAAGCTGTCAATCAACGAGGCGGACGCATGACATGATGACAAAACGGGGCGGCTTAAACGCTCAGGGATGCTTGTGCATGGAGAGAAGACATGCCTAAACGCTGCCTGTGTGCTTGTATCGAAGAGGGACTTTAATGGGGAAGAAATGTGCGTTTTTACAGTGTAGTGCTGGCAGGTGGCCCAAACAGTGTCAGCCTGATAATCATCTCTCCGCTCAGCGTATACAGCTTTTGTTCTTAGATTTCTCTAAGAGGAGATTGAATTGATTGGAAGTGATTGATTGGAGGAAAAAAAGTTTGGTTTAAAGTTTAGGAAAGATTGAGAGTCCTCTTACGTTAGAGTGATGCTCTCTTTCCTAACACAACTTCCATGCAAAGAAACACATACACAATGATACATGCAGACACACACTAACACACCTGGTCCAGTGTGAGCATCTTAAATTAAATCTCCCAGGGGTATAAGGGAACCATTGTGTGCATGTTTTTATCTCCTGTAGTTCTGATGTGACTGTGAAGGCATCGCTGGGTCAAACAGTCGTGTTTCCTCCTTCACAAGCAACAGGAGAAACACTGCTGCCACTTGAAACTGTAATAATGCAGATGTGATCTG